AGTTTGAGCCATTTGAAGTGGCGTTGTGCGATATTCAAATGACACATTTTGTGTTTTTTTAGAAAGTGATCTCTCTTTGTTCATCCCTGAGCTGTACGTTTTACTGTCTTAGGCGTGTATTTAAAATTTGCTTCATGGAAGCGGAAAATTGCAGGATTCATGCGACTCATTTAGAGTCGCATGAGTTGCAGTTTTCTCATATTGGGAAAAAGTTCAACGAGATTCAGGCGGTTTTTAGGCTGAAAATTTGGTCAGAGGCTTATTCCAGCCCGTAGCAGCAGTGAATTTGTTTCGTAATGATGGTGGTCGAGTAGAAGTTTCCACTCTCTGTGGAGAAGGGAAAAAAGCTAGCTGAAACTGCGTGAATGGTCGGGCTGAAAATACTGCTTGCTGACAGGCATTGTTGGTTCTCGAGGGTTACTCGGAAGCAGGGTGATGACAGTTCTTGCCTTATCACATGCACGAATACTAGTTTGTCGTTAAAAGACATTTTTTATGTCTTAATTCCTTTGGGAGTAAATAATTTTGTAGGTCACTGATCGGTCGATCGAGTGGAAATAAAAGCAATGACGGCGAGTTACTTTATGTCCAATCTTGTTGCCGACAATCTGTCGGCTCGAGTGGATATCGAATGGACTGACGCTGTACTCTATACACCCTATCACATACAGCAAGCATTATTGTATGAAGTCAGTTGTTTTTGCTCTTAGTTTTTGTAAAGCTTGGCCGAAGCACAAGATACAGTCTTTTCAAACTTGGACGAAATACGAAATCGGAATCAAACGGACTAAGTTTTAAAAAAAGGACCCGACCAACAATGATTGTAATGAGGGATGATTTGAAACTATGGTCTAGTAAAGTAGTAGTACAAAACCGAAATGAACCATCTAAACAGGAATGTTTCGATTCTTCAATTCGTATATATTTCTATTGAGCTCCATAGCTGGCTGTCGACAGTTGCGGTGTCAAATTCAATAGGATATTTGTCTTCGTGGAAACAACTTCGTGGGAACGGTTACCATTTTGAGGACAATATGGCCAAAATTGCACCTCATCTCTGCCTTAAATGGAGCTATAGGAATTTCTCAAAATCTCTATTTTGTTCCTTGGTCATTCACCGTCTCCTCTGCGTCATCTTCACAGTCCGAGCTAAAATAAAACTATGAAAAACGATGTCGTTTAGTGTAGCTGCAAAGTAGAATGCCATGGTTTTTCGGGCAGCAGTACTTGTTATGTCCTGCATAGCCTTCGCAAATTTTTCATGCCTATATGGTTTCAGCACGCCGATTGTTTAGCTGTCCGAGCATTCCTGAAAATGGTTGAATTGCCGTTTCGACTAGAGGAGCGCCCGAATGCGGAATTCATGTCACCAAGTGGAAAAGTGCCATTCTTGAGATTGCAGACATGTCTGATTCCTGAATTTTTGCCCCTCGTCGAATTCGTCGCCAGACGGGTAAGTCACAGGTACACACCCGCTCGGAATGTTCTGACAGTATTTCTAAGCGATCAGAACATTGTTCCGCTGAATTTTAGCTATTTAACTAAGTTACCGCTTCCGTTTTTTGCATGATAGGGGTCCAAACACAGGAGTAATCACTGTATCTTCTATTCTACGATGCGAACATCACTGAGCTGTTTTCTGAAAGAATCAAAATCCGAAATTAGTCGAAAAAACTATTGCACAAAATTTTGAAGGAAAAAGTTTCTTTATAAGTTCCACCAGTGAAAGATGAGGATACATGGATTATATCTTGTAACGAGGAGCTACTGTTCATACGCATCTCGTAACAAATGTTGCTTAATGATTTTTTGTAGAATGGAGCTTGCTTGAGCGTGAATCGGCTTTTTAAGCTTTCCGGTTTTAAGGCCATTTTCCCATTTTTCACGAGAGCCATTTTTTACCATTAGTCAGTACTTCGAAAATGAACGGCCATTCGGGATGCCTTCGGAGTTGGCGAATTTATACCGAGCAAAGGATCGACGGTATCTGAATTTATGCAGCTCAGAATCAAAAGACCTGGTACTGCTTCACTGGGCGCATGACAGCATCTCTTCACTGATGTGGGATTCTCGTTTCGGCAATCCGGGCACTCTTGGTACTCTTGGACTAGTATTTTTGGTGGTAACAAATGTCTCAGCCAGGGAATGTCCGCTTGTGGAGTGTACAAAACAGAATGGGATTGACTGTTGTATGGGCTTTAATTATTGTGCTTTTTCAGGGTGTGAAACTTTCTGCAGGTTTAACGGATGCGCAGCGGGCGGATATGCAAGCGCACATGGCACTTTTTGATCAGGTCCTGAAGAATGTAGAGGTAAGGCTTGCTTTTGATTCCACAAAATTTGCCTGTATTTATCTGAATTTCATTTAAATTTATGAGTAGCTAGAATTGTCGGGTGTAGATGTACGGGCAGCTGAAGTGCTGCTCCGAGTTAATCTGCAAACAATCGTCAGCATTCAGATTTTGATCAAGAATTTTTCAGCGGTAATTCGATTGACTAAGTCTTTGCAGTTTCTGCTCTGTTATTTATATATCGTTGCTATAGGACAGAAGGCAGGACATCTTATGTAGTTCAACTTTCCGGCGCCCGCACACTTCCTACTTTCTGCACTACTTTGACAAATCCTGTTTTTATGCATTTTAAGCTGTAACAGCGGTGCAAAACTCTTTTCGAAACCTCGTCTGCGTCTGTATCACGAAAGGAGGAAAGGGATGTGTTCGGATATCTGTACGAAATTTTCAAGTCGGTAGCTGAAGAAGCTAAGGCTAAATTTCAGGAGTTTGTTTTCTGTCCATATTCGGCACTGCTGATTTCAGTTGAGCTTTCAAATGTGCCTATGGCGGGGAATTTTCAGGTGGGGAATTTTTCAGTTTGGAAATCAAAGACTGAAATTTTAGAAGGATGTTTCTTGTCCATGTGTGGCATTGAAGATTTAAATCAAACACCTGCCTACGTTTTTGTTTTACGCATGTCGTTTGCAAGTTTCGGCGAAAAATTTTCAAATTTGGGAAACAGAAAACATAGAAATCTGAAATTTTAAAAAGATGTTCCCTATCAGTGTGCGACTATGACAAACTAAATCCATCCTCCACTTGCGTCGAGAGCTCATATTTATATTGCGTTTTTTGCAGCTATGCAATGCAGAAAACGCATATTGACGAGGGGTTGTGTGTGTCTGTGTGTTCATCAGTACAGATTTTTCACCTCGAGACCTACAAAAGCTATGCAGCTGAAATTTTGGAAACTTAATCTACATGCATTTGCGGGCTCCCATTCCCAAAATGGGCGCTCTTCCTGCGCGGTACCCACGTACGAGCCCGCCAAAGTTTGTTACGGGTAGACTGCTAATTCGGGTACCAGAAATGGTGGGAGGCTGAAATTTTAAGGGGACGTTCCCCGTCCAAGTAGGTATTATTGAGCTCAAACCCAGCTCCCGGGCAAGCGTGGTACCCATGTACCGTCCCGCCAAAACTTTTTTCGAGTAAGTCGCTGAGAAGCTAGAAGACTGGAATTTTGAAGGGATGTTTCCTAACAGTCCTGGCGATCGGTCTGAAATTCTTTTAGCTAGAAGTATCTGCCGGAAAAACCAGTGCTGTTAATGACAAAAATCTGCGTGGAGCTATGCAAAAAATGCATCTTCGCACGGGCAGCCCGTGCGTTGGTCAATTATTTAATTCTGATTTCAAGTTAGAAATTTTTTGACATGATTCTAACACAGTGATCAAATTTAATGTGGTTTGCTTAAATTTTCCGATAATATTCCCCGTCTTTGTGCGACCGCATACGTTAGGAAGTAGCTTTTACATATACTGTGATTTGCATTTCAAATCCAGTTCTTACGCAGTCATGGTGATGATAATGAAGTCGCAAACTTCATTGTTTGTGCATAGACAATGTACGAAATTGAGGAAATGATTCCCGAGTTGTGCAGCATAGACAATGTGCAGCATATCAACTATAAAGCAACATCTATCATGTGCTTAGTAGAACTACACAAAGCGCATAATCGCACCGACTGCCTTGTGTTCTCGTTTTTTTTTTGCGTTTTTTGCAGCTATGCATTGCGGAAAACGCATTGACGAAGGGTTGCCTGTGTACGTGTCTCTGTGACCGTGTGTGCGTCTGTCACGGTTTTTCATCTCAAGACCTACAAAAGCTACAGGGCTGAAACTTTGG